ATAGTGCCTAAGGTACTTGACTGCTAACCAGAAGGCTGGCGGTTCAAACCCACCAGCCACTCCTCGGAAGGAAGGTTGGGCATTCTACTTCCGTAGTGATGCTGCCTCGGGAACCCAAGGAGGGATCGCTATGAGTTGGGTCTGACTCCACGGCACATAACAACAACATGACACTGATTTTGGTGACATTTTCTTTCACCAGTTTGTTTTTGCTTCTTGCATGTCATCCTTAAAGCAGAAATGAAATTGAAAGTTCACACTTCCTCCTTTGTGGTTTACAGGAAAAGCTAAAGATGGCTGAATTTCTAGATGACCAGGACACTCGACTGTGTGACAACTGGTAAGATATTACATCTGAGAAATACTACTGGCATGAGTTGGTTTATTTTTGATAGGTTAAAATTGTGGCCATGTAATATATTGTGCAAATCTATGAGATTAGAGGGTTTTGTTTTTTTTTAATACTTTTGGGGCAAATTGCCTATTTTGGTAATTTTGACATTTTAAGTTAGCATAGAGTAGGGACTAGAGTGAGGAAATGAGCCAATCGGGATCCAATTGATTCCTGCTCCTACTTAGCTAGTCACTTTTGGCAGTCACTACTTGCTTGGGAGCTCTACCTTTCTGATATACAAAGAAGGGAGCTTGCCACCTTTTTATGTGTCTGAAAAATAACAGCTACATTTTTTTTGGGAGAGGAACAGCAACTTTACAATACTGAAGATTTCTATCTGGAACAAATATATCCCCCCATTTATTTGTAATATATTCCACTTCTTAGATCATACATTAAAAAAAATACTAATGATGTAATAAAATGTAATGCTGGACAAAGTGTTTTTCAAAGTATAGTAGTCGCTGACTTCCAAAGAATTCGAGTCATAACCAACCTCATTTACAACCATCGTTATTATTGGTAATATATGTACTATAAACACAGTTGGCAGTGCATAATTGGCTGATGTTATCGTTCTCAGATGTTCACTCACAATGTTCAGTTTTACGATTTACTGTTCAAAACACTACCACATTTATAAAGATACTGCTAATAAAAGGTATCATTAATGAAAAATTAAAAAAAGAGGTATTCGACTTACATCAGAACCAACTTACAACAGAGTTGAAACAGAACCCTGTTATAAGTCGGGGGCTACCTGTATGCTTCAGAATTTCCTGAGTGGCCACAGTGGCTGTCTTGAGCTTGATTGGGAGCGGGGTTTGGTGATCTTGGTACTAGATCCAGGGATCGAACAACTGGAGCAGAGCAGCTCAGTTTTAATCCTTTTCATGAGGGATTTTGTTAAGCAACATCCCTCTGCTTTTTTAAAACGGGAAAAAAAAATTGGTCTCATTGAACTCTCAAAGCAACCCAGCTTTGTTATTTCAAGATTCCAAAACTGTTAGTGAAGCTTGGCTGGTCTTGAATGTAAAGCTTTCTGTTTCAGTGTTCTTCACCCCTGTGATTGACAAGGAAGAACAACTCTTTCCTGCTAAAGTGAAACCTAGCAATTAATAATCGGCTGGTTCCTGGTGGGGCTTTCTCAAGAATTTATCTTGGTATTCTGGTGATAAGAAAGTGCTCTAATTGAAAGTTAAAAAAAAAGCAACAGCAAACAGAACTGTCTGAGCTATATTTAGGCTATCAGATTATGGTAGAAAAAATGACACAGGGCATGAGGAAAAGAGTTTGATTCAAATTGGTGAAAGGTTTGAGCCAGGTAGCAGTTTTTCTTTCTTTGCTGCCTTTTTCTTTCCCCGTACCCAGCCTAACTTTCAGCAGCATTAGACTACAGTTAGAGCAACTGTGTGGAATTAAGATCTCATTTCCCTGACGGTGTCTTGCCTTGCCTTTTAAGATATTTATTTCTACTATGCCACTTTCTACCATTTCATAAACTGTTTTGGCTTTGTCTACAAAGTAATCAGTTAAATAATCACAAGAAACAGCATTGTGATTTTGTAAGAAAACAGACACAATGCCTTTGCGTTAGTTATGATAATCTTGTTATTTAATAGTCCAATTTGAAGGAGTCTCAAGCCTAAGACAGTATATAAATACCTATGCCAAGGAAGTTAAAAAATATAGAGGAGTTAATGAAAACAAGGTTATTAAGCCAAACCAATTATATAAAAAATAAAACAGATTGGCATGCAAGGCTCAGCCAGTAGGGGTATGTCTAAGGAACTGTGTTTAAAATCTAGGTTTTAAAATTTTGTCTTTACAGCCTTAGCCCCATTTTTATTCCCTAAGAAAAAGTAGTCAGAGCTCCTTTGGTACATGTCTCTGTTTCTTAAGGTGTGTGTGTGGGGAGGGACCACTCTAAAACAATGGAAGCTTCCCTGGTAGAAGGCATCACCTTTTTATTTTTGCAGGAACAGAGTTGGTTTTTGGCTGATTATATATAGTATTTGGAAGGCAACTGGGAATGTCTTTGTAACTCTTAGCTTACTTTTCAGTCATATCTGTGTAAAGTGAGATTTCGTCCTTAACTTGCTTGTCTTTCCTTCGGTAATTTCGGCAGTTTTATCTAGATACAGAATTGGGTTCTCATTTATCTCACAATTAAAGCATTTTCATTTTCTCTGTCAGTAAGAAGTATTAGTATTTTACCTGGTTGGAATGTTTGGTGGGAGTATCTTGGCAGTCCCCAACTTAGGACGGGGTTCCATTCTGATGACTCCTAAGTCAAATAGTTCATTTTTTTTTTTTTAGTTTTCAGTATTATTACTTTTTATTATCAGTATCTTTAGAAACAGTAAATCATAAAATTGCACATCTGTGAGTGAACATTTGAGAATGATAACATCAGCAAATTACTGTAATATGTAAATTTTGTAATATGCTGTTAACATTACACACAAAAAAAGGGACAGTCATAAGTGCAGGTCATTGTAATGCAAATATGTCATAAGGCAGGGACTGCCTATATTTAAAAAGAAAAAAAAATCTAGCAGGCAACAATTTCATGTAATTGTTGCAAATATTTTTTTACCTTTTTCTTTCAAGCTGAAAATATGGAATAGTAAATGTTTGGTGTTCTTACCTGATGGCTGCTCTTGGTTCTTACTTCTTCATTATATCATGATACAGTTCTTAATATTTTAGTGACCTTGTGTATATAAAGTGCTTTATGTCAAGTTATCCTGGACAGCCCTGTAAAATAAAAACTATAGACATTTATTTTCTGTTTTTGCTAATTAAATTCTTGTCAAAATAATGAAAAAGAGACCCAGAATCTCTTAGCACCTTCCTCAGTATTTACTGATTTTGATTGTTCTTTTAACCATTTTATGACACTAATGAAAATATGCATAAGCCCAAGAACAGGCTTGGGTAAAACACAGTATCATTTTACAGTTCTAACAACACATTTTCAGGTGGTTTTTAAGTCGTCTGTGCTCCTTATACAACTAACACCTAACGTATTAGAGTGCACCTACCCCACCATCTCATTATCTGGCATTTTGCATCGATGACAATAGTGAAAAATCTACTCTCTATTTTGTGCAGTTATGGTGAATGCCTGGCAGTGACAATGGTTGCTGTGATGGTTAAGGTTATGTGTCAACTTGGCTGGGCCAAGTACACTCTCAGTGGTTTGGCAGTCATGTAATGATGTAGTCATCCACCATTTTCACATAACACCAACTTTTGCATAATGACTTGTCTTTGGAACCTAACCATATTGATAAGTGAGGAGTGGGTATACTAGTTTCACTGTATCTTTAACAGTTGTCGTTGTTGTTATGTGCTGTCGAGTCAGACCCGACTCATAGCGACCCCTCCTTGGGTTTCCAAGGCAGTATCACTACGGAAGTAGATGGCCCCATGTTCCTTCCGAGGAGTGGCTGGTGGGTTTGAACCGCCAGCCTTCTGGTTAGCAGTCAAGTGCCTTACGCTACTAGAGCTCCCATCTTTAACAGTGGGATTTAGTAATTTTAATTTTCGTTAATTTAATAGGTTTAAAATGGTAATTGATTTGTAGCTCTTTCCACTTACATTTTTAATACTTTACAGTTCTTAAAAATTTTAACTGAATTAATTTAATTTAAAACCAGTAGGTTCCTTAGGAAGCTAGGAATTTGGGAAAAATGTGGGACACTAAATCTGCTGAGTCATTGGTAGTGTTCTCTTTTTCTATTTGAGTTTCCTTCGCAGCTCTCACAGCTCATTCTGTTTTTGTCACTTTCCAGTTCTGCTGTGAGAATCACCTTGGGGCCCTGAGCCTGTTGGGTACACCACTGGATGAAAATGAACTTGCATTTTTTGGTGTCTTGTTTAGGCTTTCAGATTGGGAGTATGACTCTGGCTGGAGGCACATTAGTCATCCTACTTTGCAGTATTTCTTAGACTATGTAGGAAGATTAAAACTCTAAATGAGAAATAAGCTGGCAGCAACTTAGTGTGAGAGAGGGTTCTGCAGTATTAAGCTTGAGAGGCAAAATACGCATTATAGATTTGTGGTTTGACTATCTTGTTCAGGATTTTATTTTTCTGGAATTTCATTCTAGGTGACATCCTTCTAGGTGGTTTCTGTGTAGCTGAACTGTGAGGTTGGAGGTCTTCAGTGGTCATATCCCAGTGAGGAAAAGGCAGGCTTGGAATGTGCTATGCCTCCAGTGGCGTAAACTGTGTTCTTTTCCAGTTTCGGTGGTCTTACTTCTTTACTTAAGATTATCAGTTTTGTTTTGTCCCCTTCTTTTCTGCAAGTTAGATAGGATCTTTGATTGGATCCCTAAAAAGAAAGAACGACAAAAAGTGTGAGGAGACCAGATTGGTGGGGAGGGGTTCAGGACTTCATTTTTGTACCGTTCTGTGGGGAACTTTTTATCCAGGCGGAGTGCGCCTTCCTGCCTCATACCCAGCCTACTTTGAAAGGCATACAGGACACGAGGGAGACAATTTCCCCTTCCCCTTTGATCATTCCAAAAGCTGTGTCTGCTTCTGTTAGTTCTTTTTGGTTTTTCATAGAATAAAATCTAATGAGATTAAACGACTTAAAAGTGAGAGTGAAAAGAAATGGTGGTTGGTTTGTTTTTATTACCCTGGAATGTATCATTCTGCTTCAGAGCATGGATAGTTCTGGAAGAGCCTAGCTCAGCTCTTGTTTGGCCGCTGACTTTGTGGTGGGTTGTGCTCGGCTCTGACTTGTGGAGAGTGAGGCTGAGCTGAGAGAGGTAGTGTAAGGCATTGGCTGTACAGGCTTCTCCGAACTTCAGGATTTCGTGGCTTTTTTTGAAAAGCAGAGGTGGTAACAACCTTAAAAGCATGTAAAGTAGTTACTCATTAAAGAGAAATAATGGAGGTTAAAGATTTGGAAGGACAGATTTTCACATTACCATTGTGCAAGAAAACTCATAGATAGGCATTACAGTGATGCTTGCCTTTTTCTTTTATTGGATTTCTGTAGCAAAAAAGAAATTCCTGTGTTTAACTTTACCATCCATGAGATCCACTGTCAAAGGAACATTGGTATGTGCCCTGTCTGCAAGGAACCGTTTCCCAAATCTGACATGGAGGCCCACATGGCTACGGAACACTGTCAGGTGAACCACCAAGTACCCATATGTTCATTACTGTGTTCTCCTTGTTGTTGTGTACTGGCAGGCAGGCATGTTGTCACAAAGCCAGTATACTGATTCTCACTTTCTGCCCTAGGTGACCTGCAAGTGTAACACGAAGTTGGAGAAGAGGCAGTTAAAGACTCATGAGGTTAGTCTCTTGGCACGATGAAGAAGGGAATAACCGTGGGGCTGGCCCTACTGAGATGACAGCCACATGCAGAGCAGAAAGCTAGTCTGGGGGCATCTTTGGTCACTTAACTCACTCACTTGCTGTGGAGTCAGATCCGACTCATAGCAACCCCTCCTTGGGTTTCTGAGGCAGTATCACTACATAAGTAGATCACCCAGTCTTCCTTCCGAGGAGTGGCTGGTGGATTTGAACTGCCAGCCTTCTGGTTAACAGTCAAATGCCTCAGGCACTAGGCCACCAGAGCTCCTTTTGTTCATTTACCAACCACTTTCACACTACCTCTCAAAGCCTTACTGTTCTGCCGCTGCCAGGTTCAGCTCTATGGCTCTTGTGCCAGATGCTCAGGCCTCAGTCATTCCCTTTGAAACTGAGAGTCTGTCTCAGTTCTTTAGGGCTTCAACTCTTGGTAGCCTCACTGAGTGCTCTGTCAGGTCTGAGTACCCCTGTGATGCAGCCTTTCTGGAACACAACCTGCCTTACAGCTTATAATTGCACTTTGACTTCTTATTACGATCCTTGAATAGTACCCTGTATATATCCAAAGAAATTCCCCAGAGAGCATTTGGTCAGAGAGAAAATGGTATCTTTCATCCCTGGTTGAGATAAAACTGGCCATAGTTGAATGAGTGTGTTAAATATTAAATTAAAAATCTCAACGAGGATGTAGGTGGTGGTTACACAGGAGTTTATATACTTATGTAAATCTTTAAGCTCTGCACTTAAGACTTGGGCATTTTACTCTGGGTACCTGGTGGGGGAAAAAAAAAGAACAACCCACCCTTTACCTCTATTGATGTATAATTAAATGATCTTTAATTATAAAAAGTAGTTCATGTTCAGTGTAGAAAATTAGGAAAATAGAGGAAAGTATAAAAGGCTACCCAGAACCCCAGCTCAGAGAACATCTCGTAAAGAGCTTGGCACGCTCTGACTTCCATTCTTTCTTCTCTGCTTGACTACTAGGCCTCACCAGTTTGGGAGGGTGAGGGGTAATGATTGAGGTCACATTAACAAAAATAATCAGAATTTCTCAGACTCGAGCATCTACTGGCTAGGTTAAACACCCTAACAAACTGCCCACTCTCCTCGCTTCTCTCCCGGCTATTTCTGGGAGTTCCACCCTGATACACCAATCACTGTAAAGGCAAAAGTACACAGCATTCCTTAACATTCTTGTAAGTCAAAGCTAGGATAATTTTAGACTAGAGATGATTAACTATTTAGAGTTTTTAAATACTCTTTTTTTAAAAAATAGTTTATACTTCATTTGCCATTCTGGGGAGTTGCCAGTGCTTTTTAGGGTTGTTACTTTAGATTAGTAACTATATTATATATGTTAAAATGGCATGGGGGCGAGCTACTTGACTCCTTTAACTTCACAAAAGAGAGGAAGATCAAGATCAACAGCCTAAGGCTGATTCCTGTGAGGCAGAGGTCAGACATGCCTTCACCCTCCAATCTTTTTACCAGTTCTGACACCTACTGTTCATCCCACGACACTCTTCTTCTCTGCTGGGTATGCTAATTCATTGCATTGGCCACACAGAACTCACAGACCATATTGATAGTTGAGGGGTTTATTAGGGAAGTAATAGGTTACAATTCCAGTTCAGGAATGCTCTGGATACCGTTCTTTAATCAGGGCAGCCTCTTCTCAGCTGCACCTGCAGGCAGGTCTTCCTCTGGCCCTTGGCCTGGCCTCGGCCCGGCTCAGACAGGTTCACAAAGCTTTTTAAGCTCTGCGCTAAGTGTCCAGAGGTGCCTGACTGCCAGTAAGCCTTGGCTCGAAGGTGCTCAGCTACAGGTCTGCGGGTGGGCAAATCTAACCCTTCTAAGTGCCAGGAGGCACGTGACTCTGCCAGCAAGCCTCCTGCCCATAGGTGCTCAGCCCGCTCTGTTGCTTCCTGCTGTGTCTCGCCATCTTCTGTGTCACAGCCCCCTCTCTCTTGTCTCCTCGGTTTCGGAGTTTCAGTGCAGGCCCACAGGATGTACTCTACTTCTGGCTTGTCTTTCTTGGTGGTCGTGAGGTCCCCTCTCTGCAGTGAAAGTGGTTCTTTTTTAAGTCTAGGAGGATGGCAAGACTGACCAGCCCCCTTATTAGGATTCCATACATTTTATTTATAGGATCCCAACCCCCCCCAAGGCTATCCAATCCCTGTGGTGGCTATATGCACCTTGTTTTGCATAGTCCCACCCAGTCAGTTGGTGGGAGTTACAAAGACTGGCTAGAAGGGCCATGTTAAGTAAGTCATGCACCACCGTATGATACATGCTAGTGATTATTTGATCATTTGCTGTTGACTAACTTAAAACAGTGGCCTTTTTTCCTGTTAAAATTTTTTTTTCTTTCTGAATTGGTATTACATCTACATAGTATACAATTTTAAAGTCATGAAAGGATATATGTGAAAAGTATTCTATGCATATATAGTGCTAAAAAAATGCTTGGAGGGGCATTTGGAATAGAGCTTGGGTTTAATTAGATGAAAGGAAGTTTTATCTTTGTCACAGTGGTTATAAAGTACCTAAAGTTTTGAAATGCTGTTACATGAAAATTCTAAACTTAAGCTCTTGTTTTGGAATGTGCGCTTCATACCAACATATTCCTTTGTATCTTTTTAATAGTTAGTGACAGTTTCCAAGTAAGCTTGAAAGTGTTGTCTTTTATCTGCTGAGTACTTTTACATTCTTGGGGTTCTTGGCTTATTTGATCAGTTGAAAGCAGCGCTGTCCCCACATGTGCAGATTAGAAAATCGTGTTCTGATTTTTTCTTTCCCTCCTTACAGGTGCTTAAGTCTGACTCTGGAGTACTGAGAGAGAATTGGGTTGGTGAACCTGACAAACATCTGAATTACAGTTTTATTGATATTTGTTCCTGAGCTTACTTCTCAGGTTGATTTTGGGTTACTGTCTAATGTGTGCACAGAATGATGATAGTCCAGGTGACTGAGTAGATTCGTCTGAAGAGTTCCCTGCCTTCTGTAGAACCTTGTGGCAGGGCCAAAAGGGCAAACCATGAATCTGAAATATGCAGGACAGCATGGCAGGTGAAGCTAGGTTTGGAAGAAAATGCTGAAGTAGATGTCGTTGGCTTCCCTTGCCCCTCACTAATACCTGGCCTCTCCCAGAGACACACGGTAACTGGCCCCTCCTCTGTGTTGCAGGAGACTGAGTGCCCTCTGCGGCTTGCTGTGTGCCAGCACTGTGATTTGGAACTTTCTGTTCTTAAACTGAAGGACCATGAAGATTACTGTGGGGCTCGGACGGAGCTGTGTGGCACCTGCAGGCGTAATGTCCTAGTGAAGGACCTGAAGACTCACCCTGAAGTTTGTGGGAGGGAGGAGGAGGAGAAGAGAGTTGCAGGTGCCTTGCCTGCTACTGCTGACGATGAGCCTTGGAGTCAGGATGGAACGTGGGTCACATCTCATCTCCTCAGACAGATGCAGGCGCTGGACCCACCCGTGAGGCTGCCCCGGAGGCACCTGCGAGCCTTTGACTCAGACCTTTTCCATAGTAGGACTGCCAACCAAAGGCACATGACAGCCCGGTTTCCAATTCAGAATAATCTGTGTGAGTTGTATTTGGGATCAGGAAACTGGACAGTATCAGAATCCCAGAGAAAATAGGGTACAAAGAGGCTGAAGAATAGGATTTTGGGGCCAGATTTTGATTATGAAACCTGACTATAGCTGGGTAACATTAGGAAGAATACTTTCCTATAAATGAGGGTAAGAGAGCCTCTTACTAGTGGATTACTGGTATGTTGAATAACGATGATAATGAGGACAGTGTTATTAAGGCTAATGTTGAGTATATCCTGTGTGCCACATGTACATGCAAAGTGCTTCACATATATTAATTCTCATAGCAGTCATGAAGGGTGGGTATTATTCTCATTTTACAGATAAGGAAACTGAGCCACTGAGAAATTAAGTGACTTGTCTAAGGTCAGGATAAGTGGTAGAGCTAGGATTTTCCAGGCAATCTCATGCTTTGAATTCTTCTGTTACTATACAGAAAATACATGTAAAGTGTTCAGCACAGTGCCTGTCACATAATTACGGCTTAATAACTTTGCTTCTTAAAGATACAAGTAGAATGATGATGGGGCTTCTTCTCGTGGCAGATGTGATGTCTGGAGTTCTGTGAAAACTGGAAAGCCACAGGTGCTGGCAGAGCAGGGCCTCCGGTTCCTCCCCAGCTGCCTGTAATCCTTGAATGTGTTGGCATAGGCTGAAGCTGCAGGCTGGCAGCATCTCGAATATTTCTTGAATGTTGTTTTGTTTTTTTTCTTTTTTCAGTTGAAGAACAAGAAAGGCAGGAGAGGAACAGAAGCCGCCAGCTCCACAAAGAAGGTGGTGAAGATAGTGCAAACTTGGACTTTATGTTGGCCCTAAGTCTTCAAAACGAGGGCCAGATACCCCATGTGGCAGAACAGAACTTCTGGAGGGCTGTATGTGAGGCAGACCAGTCCCATGGCGGGCCCAGTGCTCTGAGTGACATAAAGGGTAGGTTTCTTTATTCTGCACTAGCCTTGTGTCTCTTCACTCACATTTTCCATTTCTTTGTCACTGTGCTACATTCTGGGTAATTTCTTCTATTTCACTGATTCTCTCTTTAGCTGTTCCTAATCTGTTATTTATTTGCCCATTGAGGTTTTTATTTGAGTGATGTTTTTTCATTCCTAATTCTGTTTTTCAGTTTGCCTATTAATTTTTTTAACAATCTTTTGTTCTCTTGTCATATCCTAATTCCCTCTTTAACATGTCTTTAAGCATACTTACTTTTCTTTTGTGTCTGGAAATACTAATCTTTGCAGTCCATTTCTTGCTGTGTCTGCTGCCTCTCCCTCGTTGGAACTTCCTGCCATGTTTGTTGTATGCCTGTGTGTGTGTGTGTGTTTTAATGGTCCATTTTCTACATGATCCTCTAGGAGCATTTATGTATGCTTCTGGCAGGCACCTGGGAACATGACCAGCTGGGGTAAATTTAAGTTTTGGGCTTGAGGATTTTAAAATCATAAATGTGACTTTAGGTAAAAATATATATGTAAAAACGTAAGTATGGAGTCTGGCCTCAAACCCGTGTGACAGTCAAGCTGTAGGTACTGACCCGTGAAAGGACCTTTTCTCCCTTCTGCCCAGAGAGCAGACTAGACGGGCAGGTTTCCTTACTTCTCCCACTGCTGCCTCTCACTCATCTGTTCAACATTCTTACTACTTTGGGAATCCTGGCCTTAAAATACTGCTTTTTACTCACTGAACTTGCTTTTAGTTTGAAGTTTCAGGTATTTTGTACTGGGCGGATTTTCCAGAATATTTGTCTGCCAGTAATAGACAAGCCTCAGTTTCTTCATCTATAAAATGAGAATAGTGTAGGTTCTCCTTCATTCAGTTTTTTCTAAAGACTGAAATAATGCATGGAAAGCTCTTAGGTTAGTGCCTCAGACTGTTTTCATCTGTAATTAGAGTAGCAGGTCAACACTGCTGTACTGATACTCAAGAAATGGGTGACAGAAAGTAGCTTCTTTCATGGTACAAGCTTTTGCCTAGAGTTTGTCTCTTAGATGGTTTCCCTTTGAGGATTTACAGCCCCACAAATTGCTACATCTAAGGACTGTCAAAGGAAGTCAAACTTTCAAAGCCCCCATGCAAGAGATAAAAGATGGAAATAAAATTTGTTTTCATTTTTTCTTTTTTTTGAGACTGACTCTGTGGCCTGATACCTAGGTGCGGCCGGTGAGACCATGCTGCCTTGTGAGTTCTGTGAGGAGCTCTACCCAGAGGAACTGCTGATCGGTCACCAGGTGTGTTGGACACTCCTCGAAGGCTTTGAGGAGAGGGTGTGCAGGCCACAGGTGGGCTTATAGGGCACCTGGTCTTGACCAGACTGTGCTAACACAGTGCTGGGGGCTGGAGAAGCAGCTGTGCTTTGCCTGTGCCGTGGCTGACCGTGGGCACGAGATCTCAGCCTTATCCCTCCCACAACATGAACCGTTCACCCAGCAGGCCCCGTTGCCTACTCCCTCCGTACCCGTACCCACCTCCACTGTGCCACGTTTTGATTTCTTGGAGCCCTACTGAAAGGAGCTGTAGTAGCGTAATGGCTAAGCTGCTAACCAGAAGGTTGG